GCTATTTTCTCCAAAGATTATATATAGTATTCCACTAGATGGAACAAGGTTACTTAGGGTTGGATGGTGATCAAAACTGTGATTTAAAAGGGAGAGAGAGTAGCATAAATGAAACTATAAACTAAATTTGAAAGGAATTTAGGAGTATAATAATTAATTAATAAAAAGATGTCAAATTAATAATTAAAAACGTGATAATAACACTTTAAAGAAAAACTTGAACCACCCTCATGAATTTTGGTCTTTGGATGGTACTAGAAAAGAAGGAAATGCAGTAAATGATGGAGAGGTTAGGAGAGCCAAATTTGAAAATAAGAGACGTTCAAAGGAAAAATCAGTTAAGTACTTGGCAAAAAAGAAAGGGGGCCGGGGGGGGATATCAGTAGTGCTGAGTGCTGACACTGAGAGCAACTTTAATTGCTCGAACAGGACATGATTAAAGCTTTCCTTTCAACCGAACCTAGGGACATGTCTTATGTCTAGCCACTAGTTTGCCAAACTATGCAAGCAAATCGAATATCATGTGTGTTTTCATTTCCATCCTATTTATGCAACGCGTTATGTATCTTATTTTTGTGAACTACTTGATGTGATAATTGATAAACAACTGGTGCAGTGGTGTTGTTTCATACACTATTATGGTATGAAAAAGTCTGTAAATTCATTCACAAGCTGTTTAAGAACTAACTCTGGAAAGTGGTTGAAAACATGTTAGTAACTGGGATAATAAATCCAAATCAAATCAAATCGGAGAAAAATGTAGTAAAGTAAAAAGGGTAGAGTTTGGGTGTATTTGGTTAAAAACTAATTTTGTTAAAACAATTTTTATCTCAAAGCGGTTAAGAAATATATTATATAATAAGTTAGTGAATTTTGTAGTATTAAAAATTTATTCGGATTGTAATATTTTTTGTTTGTTTTTAGTAAGAAATTAGTATAGAAAAATTAGTAGAATTAAAAAAAAATAAAGATAAAAATATAAATTTTGTTAGTTTTTATTTAATGATAAAATTTTTTAAATTTTAAATTAAATAGTAAACTTTTATCTTTTTAGTTAAATGTACAAAATTTATCATTTTTTAATTTTAATAATAAGAATTTTATCCTATTTCAATTAAAATTTTTATTTGCGACTTTATTATTATTATCTAATAAATTCTTAAGTAAAAAAAAACACAAAATTGATATGCTTATTAAAAAAAATAAAAATTTACTACTTAATTTAAAAATTCAAAAAATTTATATTTTAAAATAAAAATATAATAAAATTAATATCCTCATCTAAATTTTTTCTCAATTTTTTTTCTCTTCATATAATATTGGAGAAAAAGTTTGCTCTCGACTGAAAATATCAAATTTATAATGTTTTTAATGTAAAGTCAAAATTTAAAAATACGAAAATAATCCAAAACAATCAATTAAGATGGGAAAATTAGAGGGAATGCCCTCTAAAAGCATATATTCCTTAATCCTTCGATCTTCAAAAAATAAAAATATAAAGTAAATAGAAAATTTAGCCAAAAATGAAAAATGTAGAAGCGTGGTATTTATGCGCCCAGGACCGAACCGATACGCACCACGGGAAAAGGATTTCTTCTCATTTGAAGTAGACGAGCTACTGGGCAGTTGGAGGAGCTGCCTTTTGCTGTATTCGGTTTTGGATTCCGCGCAGTTCTGAACGATGCCGGAGGAGACGACGCCGATAGATTACGTGATGGAGAAGGCCTTGGGACCGCACTTCTCTGGCCTTCGCTCTCCCACAGCCACCTCCGCTTCCGCCGCCTTCGCCGACGCCAACGCTCCCAGGCAGCCCTTCGTCATTGGTACTTCTCATTTCTTTCCGATTCTATGTGTTTGCTTCTTGAAATTCCAAATGATCGCTTCTGCATTTGCTCCATCCTTGCTTCTTGCAATTAGGATTGAGGTTTAATTATTAGAAGTGATTTTTATTGTTCTTAATGGTTTTGCTTATTCGATCATTTTTCAGGTAGCTTTGCAAAATTTTTATTTGTTTGTCACTTCATCTTTGTTTTTTCCTGAAAAAAAAAATAATGAAATTGTAAGTTTACTTGCTCTTTCAACTGCAAATACTCCAGAAAATTAGCATTTTAGTAGGCGATCTGATTAATATCGTGATTATATCGAGTTCTTTCTTTCTTTTCTTCTTTTCTTCTTTTTTTTTTTTCCCTTTTGGTCTTGATTTTGGTAGTATTTCATTGCTGTTCGATTTCTTTTTTCTCTCAATTTTTTCTATGATTGTTTAGCATTACTTCTTGTTGTTTTTTTAATCTTTCCTTTTAAGTAGTTCTCATGAAAATTAATGAAAGTAGTGAGCCCATAGTTTATTTTGTACATTTGATTAATTTCACTTTTCCTTCTTGTGGCTGGTATTTGTAATCAAGCAGGAGTTTCGGGAGGTACAGCTTCTGGTAAAACCACTGTATGTGACATGATCATCCAACAGCTTCATGATCATCGTGTTGTACTTGTCAATCAGGTCTGCTGCCATGGCATTCCATGCTTCTTGTTGTATACTTCAGTGTAATTTTAATTATTTCTCAAGCTTTACTGGACCAAAATCACATGCAGGATTCCTTTTACCGTGGTTTAACTCCTGAAGAATCAAAACGTGTGCATGAGTATAATTTTGATCATCCTGGTATGGATTGTGGTTTGTCTGTTTTGGTTGTTCTCTACTTCCTGTGGTTTTTTTTCTCGATTGTGAATTTGTTTGAAAATGTTCTCCTTTAGATGCTTTTGACACCGAGCAGTTGTTAGATTGTATTCAGAAGCTCAAGAGTGGGCAATCTTACCAAGTTCCCATCTATGATTTTAAGAACCATCGTCGGTGCTCAGATAGTTTCCGTCAGGTTTGCATGTTTACTACTCTTTGAACTCTCTATGCCTTAATTTATGCGCATAAGTTTTATCTGGCTTTGTTGATGAGCACCTCCTATTTATGGAACATATTGTCCTCTTTGGGCACCTGACTTGAAAGTCAACACAAGTCTATTTTTACCATTTTCTGATTATTTATTTTTACTTGGCTAACATATCAAAACGTTCTTCATGGATTTTCTGCTGCCTTGTTACATGGCCCTTCTTTTTGCATGGTCATGTGTTGTTGTTCAGTTTCCTGAGTAATAATTCAGAAAGCCTGCTCTCACTACTACTTGGTGCATTGATAACAATTAAAACATTTTATTTTGTGTTATATGTATGCTTCCTTTTTACAACTTCAAAAGAACATTAATATGATTTCATTATCAGGTAAATGCATCAGATGTTATTATCTTAGAGGGAATTCTGGTTTTCCATGACCAGCGTGTTCGCAACCTTATGAATATGAAGATTTTTGTTGATACAGGTTAGACCTCATTCACTTGTTTCTTTTGGTCATAGTCATCGTCTTGCATTTATAGTAGATTTATCTTAATTGATTTCTTTGTTAACCTGTTGTATTCTTTTCATTCTTCCAAGTCCCAGTTCCTTTTATGTTAAAGGAGATATTAATCTTAATCTATCACTGAGTTGCATACATTTTCATCTTGCTTTCTGTCTCCTCTCCCTAGGTCAACGTGCTTATTTGCTAGCCATTATGGCTCACTATCTTATTTGGCAATCTATCTCTTGTAGATGCTGATGTGAGGCTTGCTCGTAGAATCCGACGTGACACAGTTGAGAGGGGTCGGGATGTAAACTCTGTACTTGAACAGGTAATTCTATTTATCTCTATGCATTGTAATCAAGTTAATAGTCAGAACATCCTGAGTTTGTATGTTGTCTCTGACGGAAATGATATTTTCTTTACTATTCAGCATCCAATGTTCACTTGTTCAAGGTTAATAATTGTGTCATTTGTTGTTTGTTTACTTTGAACATGTCAAAAGACAGCAACTGCAGAGTGCTATAAGTTAAAATATTCTCTCTCCATTGTTTGTTGTGAAATAGAAGACTTCTATTTAGGAAATACCTATATTCAAATTAGTAGTGTGGGATTAGAGTTAAGCTGATAAATAATTATGTTGTATTATGTTTGTACTTCCTTTGGAGGTAATTGAGAACCAATGGCTCTTGAATGCAGATCTGCTGCAGGGTGCAGAAATTGAATGCAAATGATATGGTGATCTTGTAATCATGATGAATTACAACCATGTAATTGAATGTATTTTGTGATTTGTGGCATTTGCCCTACTCAAGAATAAGTTTGAGGTGAAGATCAAATAGGTTTGTGGCATTCTTATGTTCATTGTGATGGGCTTGTCAGAACTAGGGCTGGGAGTTTATGGAAGTTTTGTGATCTGGGGTGAAACTCTGAGGAAAATCCCACTGTAATAACCAAGTATTGTAGAAATAATAACAGTTTCATGTATTGGGGAAATGGAATGTCCGTGACTTCTGTATTATTCTAGTTTCCGTAAAATTGCAAGATTTTAGTTATGTCCCTGACTCCCTGCTTGGATTTCTTATTTTTAAACTTCTGATAAATTGGGTTCTGCAGTATGCAAAGTTTGTCAAACCTGCATTTGATGATTTTGTTCTGCCATCCAAGAAGTATGCTGATGTGATCATTCCCCGGGGAGGTGATAATCATGTTGCCATTGATTTGATTGTTCAACATATACGCACAAAGCTTGGTCAGCATGACCTCTGCAAAATATATCCCAATGTCACTGTGATTCAGTCAACATTTCAGGTATATCTCAGGTTAATGATGCCACTCTGGTATTGTTATTGACCTGTATTCATCTGTTTCATTTTTCATTCTTTTGATGTATGAGTGTATGTGTTTTCTAGCTGAATTTTTTCCCTAACATTAATTGCTGTCCATGACTTTGATGGACCTTACTGCCCAAATATTTAGATAAATGATTGTTGAACCAGAATACCTGATTGTGGCTTTAGGCTTAATTAAGTAGGTTTAGAGCTTAATGGTTAGAGAAAAATGAAACAGAAGCCAGCTATTGAGATTGGGATGTCATCATACCCTGAATTTCTGTTTTATTGTTTGAAATAAAAAAGCAGAAGACAGTATATATGGTGTGGTTGAGGTCCAACAAGAAGATTGTTTTTGACATTAAACAAATGATGCAACAACTCTGTTTCTTTTAAGTTCTCTATTACAATTTTATATCTGATTTATGAGACTTGCGGTTCAGATAAGAGGGATGCATACTCTGATCCGAGATCGGGAGATCTCAAAGCATGACTTTGTCTTCTATTCTGATCGACTTATTCGTCTGGTATGTTCTGCTTCATAACTCTAGTTAATAATCTCTTCCTTTGCCAATCAAAAATAATAATAATAATAATAATCTCTTCCTTTGGCCAAGGATAAAGGCCTGTGGTCCTTAAAAGTTTTGATTTTGAATTAGGTTGTGGAGCATGGCCTTGGACATCTGCCATTCACTGAAAAACAAGTAGTTACACCAACGGGTATGTATGGGAGAAAGAAAAGTGAGGTTTGAGCTCTTTTGAAATTCAGCCATTTTTTTCACAATGACTGATTTAGGGAGTATCCAAATGGAAACTGGAGGAAACTATTTATTTAAATGTTCACTGATTTATGCATGTTTCTTTGTAAATGTCATGGGTTTTAGATTATTGGTAGTGCTTTTTCAAGCAGTCAGTTTTTCTCTCCCTTTTCATGTGCCTCTGTGTGTGTGTGTGTGCTTGTGTGTGGACTGCTTTGAATAACTGGAATTTAAATTCTGGTGCTTGTATAAAATAATCTTTTGCCCATCTTTGAAACATGTTGCTGTTCCTTTTCAGGATCAGTATATACTGGGGTTGATTTTTGCAAGAAGCTATGTGGGGTTTCCATTGTTCGAAGGTGAGCTTTGGATCTAGGATTGACTTTGTCAGTTCTGGTTATGTGGCAACCAGTCTTGATTTACTTGAAATTTGAAACTTGGGGCCAGCTTTTGTCTTTTGTTATAAAGCTATCTGCTATCATGATAACTCAAGTTCTTTGTTCATCGTCTTTCGAATTCTGAGTTGATACATGAACATTTTTGTTATAATTTTATAGTTTAGGAACTGTTGTAGGCTTTTTGTCTTGCATCCACTAGCAAGGTTTCTCTTGTTTGTTAATTGCAGTGGTGAAAGCATGGAAAACGCATTACGGGCATGCTGCAAAGGAATTAAAATTGGAAAAATTCTGATTCACCGTGATGGAGATAATGGCAAACAGGTAAATAATATATTTTGTGGGAAAAGACAGCCTGCTGGTGGAAGTGTTGCCGAAGCATTATGAAGAGTTTATTTTAATAATCAATACATTATATTTCATGCTTGTAGCTCATATATGAGAAACTTCCCAAGGATATCTCTGAACGGCATGTACTGCTTCTGGATCCAGTTCTTGCTACAGGTAAAATCCATTTCTTGATTCCCTGAAATTTTCTAGCTCTTTCCCAAATCTTATGTCTGCCCTTGTGCATTATTGCAAGAACAGGCTGACGGAAAGTGAATAAACCTAGGAAGCCTTTACCTGTACTTCTCCTTGGTCAATAAATAAATTGCTGGAGCAGAAAAAAGGAAAAAAAAAATACAAAAATACAAAAATACAAAACAAAAACAGATAGTAAATGTTATAAACCTTTCTATAATATTCAATCATCTATGCTCAATATTGGAAAAATCTACATTGATGGCTTTTCTTGCAGGGAACTCTGCCAACCAAGCAATTGAACTACTGATGCAGAAAGGGGTTCCAGAATCCCACATTATATTCCTGAACTTGATATCCGTGAGTGTTTCTTCGATGCTTTCAACCTTCCCCTTTCCCCAGTATTTTCCTTTCTCATATTCAATTCTACCAAACTAATCTTACTTCTGTTTTGTTTTACTTCAGGCTCCCGAGGGAATCCATTGTGTTTGCAAACGTTTCCCATACTTGAAAATTGTCACTTCAGAAATTGATGTTGCATTGAACGAAGAGTTCCGAGTCATCCCTGGTATGGGTGAGTTCGGAGATCGTTACTTTGGCACTGATGATTGATCCGTTGCTTGCAAGTACAGATTGTTAGCAGTATTTTTTTCATGACATTCTGAAAACAAATGTGGTATTGGTTTTTACACGTGTACGCCACCTGCTACTAGCCAAGTGCCTGGTCGCATCAAATATTACAACATAATTCGAGTCCAATAGATGAATTTCAAGTCCTTGAATACCTTCATGTTTGATCGAATGCTTCTTTCTTTCAAAGGTGCAGAATATGAATAATATTGTCGATACATCAATCAAATCTGCTGATTATATAGACTTTTCTTGCCAAGAGTTGAATTAACTTGGCCACAAAACTTTTTTTTTTTTTTCTTTAGAAGTGAAAGTATTCGAGGTTGGTTGTACATTCCATTATTAGATTATTTCATGTTACAAAATCCAACACGAGATCTGTCCTCTTATTCTCGGGGGTTTATCAATCCTCTTAAGCGAGCTAACACCACCGAGACAAGGATAATTATCCTTTCTTTCATGTTGTTGACAAATTGGAAATAAGCAAGCCTCCAGGAATTCTTAATCACTAGTGTTCCACAAACTCCCCAAAACCCCACAATGAAACCCAGAGCAGCGCTGATATAAAGCCCCATCTGTTCCTTCCGATCTGCAGCTTCCGTTTCTTGTTTTCTT